CATACCAATAGGTATGGTAGGCTATTAGGATCGGCAAAAAAAATGTTTTTTTAATTTCACTCAAAATGAGTTATTTGGGTTATAAATGACCTAAATACAAAATATTTTCGTGGTGTCTGTCTGTCTGTCTGTCTGCCGTCTGTAACACGATAACTCAAAGACGGCTGAACCGATTTTAACCAAATTTGGCACAAAAATACTGTGGCACCCGAGAATCTGGCCATTATTTTTTGGTGGGGGTGGGGGGTTGGTAAGGGGGTATGAAAGGGGGTTAAAAATTTTGAAAAATCGTAACTCCAAAATTACAGTAGCTAGCGAAACGCGGTTTTTTTAAATGAAAGGTATATATGTTTAGATTTGTTATGAAGTATTTTTAAATTGTTGAATGGCTATTTCTTTGTGTAAATCGACTAAATATTAAAACATACCTGAAAAACACCTACACACAATACCTCCAGAAATAAATGATTTGTCATTGTCAGTGGTTTGTCAGTTAGATTATATATCAAGTTTTTAGATAATTTAGGGATCAGTTCATACAGCCAGCTTTAGATACATAAATATTAGAACAAAGGTTCGTTTAAACGACATTAGTGAATTAGCTACACAAAGCGATTTTAGGAAATCTCCTTATCTCATCCTCTTAGAGAGTAAAATTATGTCGGAACAATTTGTTGTATGAAAATTCCTTACTATGTGGTCTAGAAGAATGAAATCCTATAAAAAGAATTAGAAGAGATTTTTGAAATTCATCAACCAAATGGGTAGTTAGTAAAAATTTATATAAAACTTGGTGACCTCTGGATTATTTCAAAAACATTTTGTGGCCAAAATTGAACTTCTTTTCGATAACTTCTAGAATTATTAAAATTTTTTATTTCAGACGGCTCTAATCAAAAGTTTTATTTTTGGTATACAAAGTGTGTCATAAAGTCATATGAAAAAATCGCCTGTATGAAAAAATAAAAAACGGTTTTTAAATTTTCGAATTTTCTTAAGTACATAATAATATTTAAAGAGAATAAAAATGCTCTTCAAATTGGAATATTTGACGGCTTTTTATAAATTTTAAGTAAAAAATATGTAATAAGTCAAAAATAACAATATCGATTTTTTGCCGAGCGAGTCTTAAATAAGTGCAATTATTCTTAGCGGTAGTAGGTATATTTGACCCCAGAAACACGATTATGAGTTTTTTCGCGAATTTTTTTTTGGAAATTTGGAATTTTTTGAAAAACCTTTTGGATTTTTTTTAGTTTTTAGTTAAAAACCTTAATTTCTTGATAATATGGCAACATAGATAGGTAGTAGATTAAATTTACAAGACAGAAAAACCCGAAAAGCTGCAGTGGTTAAAATTTAAGCAAAAAATATTTTTTTTTGGAAATTATTTTGAAAGTAAAATAACTCAGTTATTTTGGAGTTATTTGAAAAACGGCAAAGACAAAATATGGTTTTTTATCGAGATCTACCAGCCCTGAAAATATTTGCACTTATTCAAGACTTGCCCTGTATAATACCCAGAAAATCGACAATTGATAACTTTCATATGAAATACGAGTAGCTCTAAAACTCTTAAAAACATAGTTTAAATAGGGCATTTGTAAGGCTCACTAGCTCTATATACAAAGTAAATCATTTAAATCAATGCATGAACTATTCGAGGTGTAACGCGAACGTAGTCGCGGGAAAAACCTAGTTTATAATAACATCAAAATCAGTCAAAGTCGCAGTTTTCGAGATATTAACATATTTTAGTATGGGCGGCTATACGTGCCTCCCGGCTCCAATTTTTTGTTAACAAGTTATAAAATTCCTAAGAAAAAAGCAATCTGCCTTAAAATATTCAAACTTCAACCTTTAATAACTTTCGAACGGTGAAGTTTACAAAAAAATTGTTAGAGACCTTTTTTGCAGATAATTCCATTTACAACATATACAGGGTAAGGGATTATGCTTTCGGGGAATGATGGGGGACGTCGGAATATTAATTTTGATATAGCACACTATGGGTCGGAAATGCCTCTTACGCAAGATACAGGGTCTTCAAGTTTTTGAAAAATTTAAGATAATCTTTAATAGTTTTTTAACAGTTAAAGGTATCGTTATAAAATTTTATTATAGGAGTCTACCTAACAGAGACACTTTAAATGTAAAAAGAAGAGGTTTTAGTTTCAACCAGTGGCGTAGATGTGAGATACATCAGGTAATTTTTTCAAAAAAATATAGTACGCCACTGATAAAAATAAAAGTTTCAGAGTTTTTTTATTTACTCGGTTTATTTCCAAGAAAATATGTCTCTTGCAACTTTCTTCTATCTAACACCATTTTGTCACAATTTAAAAATAAATAATTTTTTTAACGAGACCCTTAAATATGAGAATCATTACAACAGCCTTAAAACTAAGAATTTTATTATTAACAATAAAAAAAATTCTAGTTTAAATTTATAATTTTTTAAAAATTTATTTAAGGAGCTAATAGTAAAAAGTACTAAAGTTACTCAAGGTGTGTAACTCTAACCTTGGCCTATTTAAATTAGTAGTGGGAACTATCGAATGAATACTATCGAAACATTCGATAGTTGCAATTCATTCGAATAATTCGATAGCTAGTAAAAAAACATTCGTTGAAAACTATTCGAATAAAAATTATCGAATAGATGCGTCATCTGCCTTGAAATATTGTATTCTAGTAATTCGGCAGCAAAAACCATTCATTTATAAAATTCATTCATTTATGAAATTCATTTATTCGTCAGGATCGATTATAATAAAATATTAACTGAATTTTAGTTGTCGCCCGGCGACGTAGGTTTCTTTCCGAGAAACCCGACAGCGGTCGGTGGCAATGCTATGAAAGAAGCCGGCATCTTTGATTTTTTGCGGAGTCAGATAAAAATAAAGACACATTATTTTTTTTATCGAGGTGCTAGTATTTACACAGAAAATATATTATGAAGGGCGCTGTTGCCATATTTTGGTATTAGTTGATATTAGCAAAGAATATTATTGTTTGCCTTTAGTTAGTTAGGGATAGTATGTCTATATATTCTGCATTTTTTTATTAATATTCTGTTGTTACACTGCAATAATACTTGTTATTTTGGATGTAGGAAAATTATTTTTAATGTTTTTAAGCAAAGACTGGTTTAATAAATAATAACGTAATAATTTGTTATACCTATTAACAACAAAATTTAAAATCATTTAATATAAACATTTTTTTAAGTAGTAGCAAAATATAAACAACAAATTAGATGTCAAAATTATTTATATTAGGTCCTATTTAAAAATAATATAGTCTCTAAATTTTTTGGCAACGTTGGTTTATTAAAGAATAATAATTACAGAACTAATTTGTTATATTAACAACAAATTTTAAAATCATGAAATATAAACATTTATTAATTTTCTAAGCATGCAGTGTAATGGAAGGAAAATATAAATAAAAAATTAGAAATCAAAATTATTTATATTAGGTGCTTTATACCGTATGATCGAATAAAACCGGCGTCAGCGATGGCTATGAAATGAAGATCGCTGTCATTTTAAATGTAAAATTATATGGGAAATGTCATCGATCGTCAGTTCCAAGCCAACTGGACGCCGTTTTTTTTTCGATCATATGGTATTACTATTTAAAAATTATATTTACTTTTACTGGCATTTACTTTAAAAAATAAATTAAATATTTCTTCGCAAAAAAATACATGTAAGAGAATTAGTATAAACAAAATACAAACATCGTTAACTTTTTTTAAATTGGCACGTGTAAAACTTTCATTTTAATTTTCTCACCCTATAGTTTGAGTTCGATAACCCCATTTACTTAACCACATTACTTAAATATGATTATTAAGTTCAACTAATTCATATTATTAAAACATCTAAAATACAAATATGTATTTTTAAAATTAATTGTAAGTTCATCTCATCTCTCTTAAAAATTGCTACTTCTCAAAATTTTCCATTAAAAAATAGACCATATACCATATAAAATTAAATAATTGAAAGATCGGACTACGGAAAACCACACAAATTTTTGAAAAAATTTTGACCACCTGCACATACACACAATCGTCAATAAATAAAATTAAAAAAAAACTACTATTTTAGTATTTTAAATATTTTAATGAACGCAAAAATAGCACAGTATTTATACGGCGAAGTTATAAAAATTTGGAAGAACTAATAATGCACTGACGCACACAAAAATCAAACAAATACTAAATTTCATTTATCAGAAGCATTCGATAGTCGTGGCTACAACGATAACCATTTAGCCGCACGGCGAGGTTGTCACATATGCTTTAGTATACAAATGAAATTCGAATAAAACCATTTGATAGTTGAAATCATTCATTAAGTAACCATTCGATAGTCTAATTCAGTCGATAGTTCCCATCGCTAATTTAAATTCACATGTAAGTGATGAAGGGAGCTAACGATGCAGTTAAAAAAACATTTATTTTTAAATTGTGACAAGATGGTGTTAGATAGGAGAAAGTTACAAGAGACATTTTTTCTTGGAAATAAACCGAGTAAATAAAAAACTCTGAAATTTTTATTTTTTTATCGTGGCGTACTTTTTTTTTTGAAAAAAATACCCGATGCCTCTCACATCTACGCCACTGGTTGAAACTAAAACCTCTTCTTTTTACATTTAAAACGTCTCTGTTAGGTAGACTCTCATAATAAAATTTTATAACGATACCTTCAACTGTTAAAAAACTATTAAAAAATATCTTTAATTTTTTAAAAATTTTAACACCCTGTATCTTACGTAAGAGGCATTTCCGACCCCCTGTATCTTACGTAAGAGGCATTTCCGACCCATAGTGTTCTATGTTCTATATCAAAATTAATATTTTGACGTTCTCTAACATTCCCCGAACGCATGACCGACAGGAATCACCCTGTATACGATATTTTTTCGAATTAGTAAATATCAAGATATACCAAGATTTTGACCAACTCTAATGTATACTCATATTTTAGGTCTGGTGCATCAAAATTTACCAAATTTGAAAATTTCGTTGAAGATCCCGAATGGATTAATGGCTTATCCGAGTATCAAGTTTCTGTAAAACAACATATTTCAGTCAGCGAATCAGATATTTTTGAAGAAGTTGACTCTGGATCAAAAGATATTTTTCAGTTGAATTTTAAAAACTTTAAACCTGGATCAGTAGTTGCGGTTAAGTAAGTTATATTTATTATTTTAAGATAATTTTTTATTGACATTTTTTTTATTAATTTTAGAGTCTCATTGCCTGAGGAAATGAATAAATCTATCAGTTATCTCAGAAGCTTTATAGACAGCATTTCGTCTACTAAAAATACCGAAATCAAGCAGGTGATAGAAAAAATGACACTTGCTGATATTAATAGGGCACTTTATAGATGTGGCCAGGAAGAAAGAGATGAAGGTATATAATCCATTAAGTTGAAATGTTTTATTTTGATTTTAATAAAGATAAATTTATTTCAGGAAACGGGTTTGATGTTTACAACATACCTAATTTTGGACCCTTAGTTTATTGTGGCTTACAAGGTTTTATGTCACTATTAGCAAATATTAGGCCTAGTAATGATTTGGGTCACCCATTTTGTGGAAACTTAAGAGATGGAAACTGGATGATAGGTATATAAATATCTTTTTCATAATATATCAGACTATGATATTCATCTTTTTGTATCTTCTTAATTTTTTTCTTTTTACTTGTCAAATTGTTAGTTTAGTTGATAAAAAATGGGTTTAGTTAAAAATACACATAGGTCGTATTAATAAAACTGTTATTAAACATATTTTGTTTTTAAGTTTTTAAATTGTCTACATATTTTAGATTTTATTTTAGTATTTTTTAAACTACTATATTTTAGAGATTTGATGCAATAAGATTATGTTGCAACTAAAATATCTAAATGATTTCATTATACTAGTTTTGTAGAAAAATAAAATAATTTGGAAAAAATACATTCTTTTCAAAATATACAACTGGTCCGAACTGTATTCCGGAAACTTCGGTAGCATATTCTGCATATAAATAGAAGTAAAAAAGTTCTTAAGTATGTTCTAAAACGCTTAGTTGCCTTCACACAGGGTTTAGAAGTTTCATTTTTATTTCGATTTTTTCTAAATAATTTCTGAAGTAACGTCAATATTCGCATGAAAATTGGTGCCTGGTAGTTTTTTGACATGAGAAATTTGATTTTGATGTCATTTTTTTGATGTTATTTTTAAAAAATTAAAAATTTTGACTCTTCCGTCCTTATTTATATTTGAATCCGTTTGCCTAATACGTAAACATGTATCCGCTTCTCAAGAAAGGCCATCTCACACTTATCCACTCAGGAACGCGGAGCAAGATCTTTATCTACCTACCCCACGCTCAGAGTTAGTTAAAAGTTCAATATTATACAACTCGAAAAAAATGCACAATCACCTACCATTTGAAATCAAATCCATAACATCATTTTTTTCATTTCGCAAAGCATTGAACTCTTATTTACTAGACAAGGCTTTCTACGCCGTAAATGAATTATATTTTGAAAATCAAATTTGATCTTGTGAACACTGGTCTTATGTTTGCTATTGCTATATTTACTAATGACATCGAAATGAATTTATTTAGAGAGATTGATATTTTACTATAAACTAGCTAAATATTTTTGAATATTATTTTTATTTTTATTTTTTTGTTCTTTGACATTATAAACATTTATAAATGTTTATTTTAACAATAAGACTGACAATATTATTTGTATAATGTTTTGTATTATCTTTTGTTTGTTTGTTTGTTTGTGTACCTTGTTTTTTTACTTTGTTAGTTTACCTTTGTCTACAAATTGAAAAGTTTTTTGACAATAAAGGCATTTATTATTATTATTATTATTATCATTATGACTCCTTTTTGTAGAGGGCGCTACCCACATGTGTTTTAACAGTTTTGAAGAGTAATAACTTTTTGTCCATACCTGTATATAACTACTAAGTGAAAAAATATACATTTTCATAATTTTCCACGTAAAAAATGTCTCTTGGTAAAAATCGTTACGAGCAACCCTTCTCGAGATATTTAGGATGGAAATAGTCAATACATATCATTATTGACAAAAAATAAATATGTTGAGTAGATAGTTCTTTGACTGAAATGATAAATATGTGAAATTTTTATTTTTTAAGTTAATCATGAAATTTTCTTCGAAAAAATGAAGATTCATGATGATTTGACATAAAAACATTTCAAATTTATGATTTCAGCCTTTTCGCTATTTTACTCAACATGTTTAATTTATGTCAATGGTGACAGGTATTGATAATTTCGATTTCAAATATCTCGAGGACTATTACTTGTAGCGATTTTTATTAAGAGATCTTTTTTACGTTAAAAACGTCGTAAATGTATATTTTTTTACTTAGTAGTTTTATACAGGTACGGACGAAAAGTTATTACTCTTCAAACCAGTTAAAATGTGTAGGCGGCGCCCTCTATAAGTAACAGTAATATTGACATCAAAATCAAATTTTTCATATGAAAAAACTCCCAGACACCAAATTTTATCCAAATATTGACGTTACTTAACGTCGAAATAAAAATGAAACTTCTACACTCTGTATCTCCGAAACTAAGCATTTTAGGACATACATTTATAAGAACTTTTTTACTTATTTTTATCTGCAGAATATGCTGCCGAAGTTTCCGGAATACAGTTTGGACCACTCTGTATATTATAGACATTTAGCAAGCGATAGCGTGATAACACCCCGAAAATTACGTCCGTCGAAATTAGAAGGTCGGCGATTTCCCAGTATACTATTATGCCTATTAAATAGATTTAACTACCGATTTGACGTTTTAATTTGCAAATTACGGTATGTAGTGTTGATAGTTACTCTGCAATATAAATATGCCCAGAAAGGAAAGCTTAACCTGTTATGATTAATAGATAATCTATCTGTTTCCATTTTTTCTCCTTTTTGTTCTAAAAAAAAATTTTTTTTTATATCTAAAATATTAGTCAAAGTAAAACCTCTGAAGGCGGGTAAGGGGACAAATAATAACTCACAATCTTTAAGATGTTTATTTAAATTTAAATGCTTCAAAAAAAGCAAGGGGGCGACATGTTTCAGGACTTAAACAATTCCCATCATCAGGCCCAGAAAGCTGAAACAATTACGATCAGAATAATAGAAAATTTCAATAGTCAAACAGAGGTCAAAATTATAAAATACGATCACAAAACAAATTAAAAAGTTTAAAAAAAAAAATTTAAAAGGGTAAAAGGTTATTTCTAGCACAATAATTGTTTAATCACTGATAACAACATGGTAAGCTCAATTTGAAAATTAAAACAACTTATGATTTTAGTCTAGTTGTTTTAATTTTCAAATTGAGCTCAATTTGAAAATGATAATATGTACTCATACTGGGTTAGAGAACGTTTAGTTTTAAAAATATTAGTGTTGGGAAAAATCGGATGAATTTGATCCTCGAGTATTGATTCTCGAGGATTCCAATAATCCGATGATCATCCGAGGAATCCTCGGTCATAAAATTTTCTCTGTATAATATCTCGATCGAAACATGAATAATACTCGCCGCTGGGTGTGAGTGATTTTGCTTGCTGTTTTTAACACACTGTTGCCATGTACTTGAACGACTTAAATAATATTGTAATAAAAATAAATACTAATTATTTTAAACACTTTTTTAATAATTTTTAATATGTTCGTGTATAACTTCATGTGGGAAATAAAAGTTTTGCTTTAAATTGGGCTGTGTTCCTTTAATTGCTTGTGTTTCTTTAATTCCGACTTTGAGGCTAATCTGGCAACCTTTCACAGCACACTTTCACGCCAAATGAAACCAAGTAATTCTAAGAAATACGTGCGGCTTTTTAAAAAGGGCTCGTTATTTATTGTTTATTTGTCGGCGGTCGGTCATTGAGATAAAAAATATATTTTATTTTACTTTTTAATAGCGTACTTTCACCGAAAATAAACTGTGGTACCTAATGAATTGTAGTAGTATTTTGATATTGTGCATATTGTAAGTTTTTGTGCGACATAATATCCAGTTTTAAAATTAAATTTACCAACTGTATTGTTTGGGCACAGCTTAACTAATAATCGAAAAAAAAATTGTTAATGATGATTGTTTCGGATTTTCAACCTCTTTCTCTGGTGAACCCTCATAATAGAAAAATATTAACTAATAAAATTTTACTTAAATCCGAGCTTAAGGCTTACAGCGAGTCAGCTGTCGCTTTAAAAACTGTTTGAAAAAAAAATGAAATAAAATATACAGTAATATTGTTATTCTTGTTGGCAAATTTCGCAAATCATTCACTTTATATCTACGTTCCATCACACTAAATTTCGATTATACTTTCATCAGAATATAGTCTCCCAACGTACAACTACAAGCAAAGGTTTTTTACAAGAAAACACGTAAATTCAAAAATTAAAAATGCAAATAAAGCAAAATCTCCAAAGCCTTAACTTTGCCTTAACCCAAATAAACAACTGTGGTTTTGTCAAATGGAAGTCGAAAACTGACGTATTATGAATTTTTAAATGTTTCAATTCTGAATTATTACACAGAAAAAACAACATTTTATTATATCAATGGTTAAAAAACTATAAATCTTAAAATATAAAGTATGGAGAAAAAATCTTTATAATTTAAATAAATATTATAATTAATATATCCCATCTAAACAAAACAAAACAAAAATAAGTAATGTATTTCCTGTGGTATTTCTGTTCAAAAATGCAGGTTACTACTCTGAAAACCGACTATTATTGCGAGCGATATGCGAGCAAGTGATAAAACAGTTACCCTCTGTCCTCTATATAAAAGGTTTCAGCATAAATCGTAAAATCGCCTGTATCGTCGCGAGCAGCGAGGACGGTACGCTACAACTGATGTTAGTTGCGTGCCGAGTAATGCTCGAGGATCGACAAAAATACTCGAGACATACCGAGGATATGAATACTCGGATGACCGAGTATTTTTCACTCGAGTGATCCCATCACTATAAAATATAGTAATTTTAAATTTAAATATTGGTATTCAACTATGAAAAATTTGATTATTTACAGATTACATATGGAAGAGACTTCAAGTAGACGAGGGTACAAAAGAACTGGGTCAGTGGATAGAAGAAAACATAAAATACTTATACAATATTCCACGATATTTAATTCCTTGTTATTTTGATGTCATCGTCACTGAGATCTATACTTGTCTATTAGATCAGAGCTACAATCTTATGTCAGAGTAAGTAAAACAATAATCTTTATTTTATAAAAACGTGAAGCATGGAATATTTTTTTAGTATTGTATCATAATTTTAACTTGTAAATTATTTTTAATTTTCCGAAAGTTAACGGTTAGTAAGTTATAGCTCTTATTAGTGGAAATATTATATTGGACTTATGTTTTTTATCTTTATTAAGTTAAGTTAATTAAGTTAAGAGCCGGGTGCAAAAACATGCAAGAGTTTTCTGAAGGCTCAAAATCGATTGCATTTTAGTGTTAAAATGCAAAGGTACAGTCAGCAGTTCCAGTTCCGGGACACCTGGCCCTGAGAAGCGCGCCAAGGTGTAATTTTAATTAACACCTCCAAACTGTTATCTGAAGGTTGAAAATTTGTAGATAATATTGGAATGCAATGTAAAAAAATAACAGTCAGACAGAGCAGTATGGGGACACAAAGCGTCAGCGCTACCTTAAACGCGCTGCCAAAAAAAAATTGTCACGTGTGATTTCTGAAGGTTGAAATTTTGCAAGATAATAGTGAAAACAATATATTTATTAATAAAAACAGTCAGACTCGTCGATAATAGAACTCCGTCAGTCAGCAGCTGATGGAAGTGAGAATACTGACAGGGTGCGTATAAGCAAGGTTTTACTCAATATTGTATATTGATATTCGTCAATAATTTCACACAAAACAGAATATTTTAATTTTTTTGGATTTGTGACTGATTGATCTATTTATTGATTGATTGATCTATTATTGAATTGAATTTTAAACATAAATATTATAAGAAAAATATATTTCAAATCGTAGTTTATAAATGTCGAAGGAAAACGGTCCCTAATAAAAAAAGACACACGTTTTTTGCATAACGCACATTAATTTATTTACAATAATTATTTTGTTTTGTGTGAAATTATTGATGAATACCGATATATATTGAGTAAAGTCTAAAAAAAGTCTGAAGTATGGAGTAAAGTAAACGTGCACTGTCACTATTCTCACTTCCATCAGCTGTTGACTGACGGGGTTCTATCACGGCATATAAATCACACGGCAGACCGACTCGCTTTAGCGGGAACGCTACGCGCATATCCTTGCGCACGACGCCATTATGGGTGCCAGCAACAGAAATTAACCAGTGTCGTAGTCAGTCGTAGTCTTTGTCATCGACAACATACAGTTATGGCAGCTTTGAGTCAGTAGCGTGCGGTTTAATTTATTTTATTCTTTTCTTGATATATTTTGTTTTTTTATTTTTGTCTATTGTGTGATATATTTGGTTTTTGTAGTTTAGTAGTACAATGGAAGTCCGAAATTCTTTTAGTTTTAATACTCAATCATTGTCTACGGCATTCAAAGTAATTTTTATTATTAGGTATCCTGCAGAATGACAAACAAGATTAATTTCTAAATCACTGTTTTTCTGATTATCAGTATATATTTTTAATTCTTATGGATAGCTCATGACAATTCAGAGAGAAAAGAACAGAGGTCTGCCGTTTTTAATAAGATCTTTGCCAGATCATTTTGGCAACTTTCAGTACCCGTGTGTAATATTCGGACACAAAGTTTTTTAAATGTTCTTCTAAACCGGATGAATTTATCCTGGATGGGAATAATGATAGGTTTACAAGATATTGGAATTACAAGATAAAGTTGTCGTACCAGATTTTTATGAGTGCAACTGTACACTCGCGACAAGCTTTTATATAATATAAAATTGTGTAATGACATTATAAGTTCATAATAAAAGTTTTAAAGAAAGAAAAAGTTAATTTTTTAATGTATTTAAATAAAAGCTTGTTTTTAAAAAGTTTTTTTCTTAAATTTATTTTTTACTTTTTAGTTATGCTGATTTCTCAGTGCCACACACTTAAACTCAATTCTTTTTCTTAAATAACTTCCTATGGGCATCCTAATAATATGTATATCGATTTTCATTAAAAAATGAGAGCTTAAAAAAAACGACAGCTGTCAAATTTGACAGTTCAAATGTGAGACAAATAAAATGAAAACCGACTAAGCGGTAGGGAGCATCCAATGTATCGATTTTTATCAAAATCGGACAACTCTGAGATTTTTTTGACAGCTGTTAAATTTGACAGGTCAATTTTTTTTTTCATTTTAACCCATGGCCATCCTATATATAGATTTTTATCAAAATCGGACAACTTTGAAATTTTTTTGACAGCTGTCAAAAATTCGGGTCATGCCTTGCTAAAAAATATATTGTCATCGGGACTGAACCTACATGCCAAATTTTAATTTCCTACAATGAAAGGAAGTGCTTCTAATTTAGCTTACAAGATTTGCCCGAACAAACATACATACAAAGCAAGTTAAATAAAAGCTTGTAAAATAAGCTAGGGACTGCTTCCCGTTAGTAAAGATACTTCTTACCATAACAACATTAGACACCCGAGCTGGTTTAAACTCTCTGTTCCCCTTCTGGTCCTCAAAACCTACAATATTATCACGACCACTATTATAAAACAAATTGCACTTGATATTCATATCATCAATACATAGAACACAATATCGATTGAGTTCATCTGGTTCATCGAAACTTTCAACTTTTCTTTTTCAGAGTCTCAAATACACTAAGATTTTAAGCCAGGTTTGATATCGATGTCATATATTCATTATCTTAGTGTCTCTGGGTCTCTGGACGTGGAAGGCAAAATAGATTTGTCAAGAGCGTCTTGTATATTTTTGGCCCGGAAAAGTATATAGCCAAACATTTGTATTTAAATTCATCAGTTACTTTTCTTCCTTTAGCTGATTTGTTAATTTGTGCAATTTGAATATTAACAAAATTTGCTATGTCCATTGATGGACATAATTTGTACGTAGCCTCTTTAGATTGTTCAATAGATATGTTATTGGGTATTTCTTTAATTCTTGTTTGTAACTCCTGGCATGATTTTTAATTTTAATTGTCTATTCTCTATAGTTAAATGTTTAATTGATTTTTTCATTTATACTTTTCGAGGAGTATGCGCGGTTAACGATTCATTTGTTTAGATAAAAGTATTGTGTAAATAAAATTCAGTTTCAGTCAATTACAGTATTTTTTTTAATACGACCCTGTCTATCAATAGTTTATTTTCTGGGAAATTTTTTGATACGTTTTAATCCGGCCCTGACTCGGCACCCATAATGGTGTTTTCAAGGTCAAATTTTATAAAAATTTTAAACAATGGGATCTGGGCAGAGTTAGCCTACCGTGTGATTTATTGTGGTTCTATTATAGACGAATCTGACTGTTTTTATTAATAAATCTATTGTTTTCACTATTACCCTGCAAAATTTCAGCCTTCAGAAATCATTTTGAATGGCAACATTTTTTTGACTGCGCGTTTGAGGTAGCTCTGCCGCTTTGTGTCCCCATACTGCTCTGTCTGACTGTTATTTTTTTTACATTGCATTCGAATGTTATCTACAAATGTTCAGCCTTCAGAAAACAATTTGGAGGTATTCAATTTTACCCCTTTGCGCGCTTCTCAGCGTCAGGTGTCCCGGAACTGGAACTGCTGACTGTACCTTTGCATTTTAACAATAAAATGCAATCGATTTTGAAAATATGGGCCTTCAGAAAACTCTTGCATGTTTTTGCACCCGGCTCTTGGACTATTAGGTTTAAAAAATTAATTCTAGAAATAATTATTCCTTATCCAATTTTTTGTGAAACAACTAAGAGTCTTTAAAGTTTATAAACAGTTTGTTTAGGTTTCCGTAATATTATTTTTTTGTATTTAATAATTCCAAAGTGTTTCAGTTTCAGAGTTTTCAGTTCTTTATCGATTAAAAATTTTCTTTCAGCTTTGTAAAGCATGGATCAAGCTTTGTAAAAGGTTTATCTTTGGGCTCGCTACAGTTTGGAGCTTATATTAAATCGGCCGATTTACCCACCCTCTCCCCTAATTTAGCGCCACCAAAGCCACCGGTTAGAGAAAGTTCAGACGGACGTGACATTCAGGCCTGTGTTTCTCTATCAGCAGGTATAATATTATATAAAAAAAATGAATTAAAATATAGTATTGATTTTCTAATGCACATTTAAGGCTTACCACATTTTTCGGTTGGCTACATGAGAAATTGGGGTAGAGATACATTTATTGCATTAAGGGGACTCTTTATATTAACTGGCAGATTTGAAGAATCTAGACAACATATTTTGGCGTATGCTGCTTGTCTGAGACATGGCTTAATTCCTAATCTTTTAGATGGTGGAAGAAATCCAAGGTAAGTAAATATTTTACGTGTATCTGCCAATGTAGTAAATATGGATTAAATATGAAGGGTCCGGGGGAAAAACATGATAAGTCCCATTTTAGGCACTGGACGGGTGGTTGTTATCCGTGGTTATCCGACGTTATCTTTCCGTGAATTCCACATTGTTACTAGGCATATACAGGGTGTCCTAGAAATAAGTGCAAGTATTTTAACTGGTAGTATATGGTTTTTTTCGCAAATTTTTTTTTGAAAAATCGGAATTTTTTGAAAATTTTTGGATTTTTTTAAATTTTTATTTAAAAAAATAATTTGTTGATAATATGACAACATAGGTAGTAGATTAAATTTACAAGAAAGAAAATCCAGAAATGATCCAGTTGTTCTCAAAATTTGAGCAAAAAACCATTTTTTTTGGTAATTTTCAAAGTAAAATAACTCCGTTATTTTGGACTTATTTGAAAAACGATAAAGAGAAAATATGTTTCTTTTATCGAGATCTATCACCCCTTAAAATACTTGCACTTATTTCTGGGACACCCTGTATAGTCTCTCCAACGACAAGATTTTTGACAGTGATAGATGCGTCTGTCATCTTATTTTCAAAGTAGTTTATTTTATTTTACAAAGAAATAAGTTGGTACAGTTGGAACGCATAGCAGAAAATTAATATATTTAAAATTTGAGTGACAAGTGATTACTTCAAAACAGGGTTGGCATGATTTAAATCAAATGATTTAAATCATGATTTAAATCGTGATTTAAATCAAGTGATTTTTTTAATTTTAATCATTGATTTGAATAAAAAAAAATAATTTTATTAAAACTTTATTATAAATAAAAAAATAACTGTAAAAGTTATATAAATGTGTCCTAGAAAACTATATGAAATATTTCTGTAAAAGATATAACAGATAATAAATCGAAAAGTAATTGTAAGTGTTATAAAACTACGAGTATATAAAAATATCTATTCATCGATTTAAATGTTGAACCGATTTTTGAAGTAATTTCGTGTGAATCCATTAGACCGCTAAACGCAGGGATTTATTTAAAAATTTATGTATAAGTGACAAAAATTCGGTGTTTGAATACATATCATTCGCAGTCTAGTGCAGAACTAGATTCTTCTGATATAGAGACTAAATCACTTATACATTTATCAATTTAACTTATGTAAAAATAAAAAATAATAATATTGCAAAGGAATAAATAAAACACAACATAAATAAAACAAAATATTATATTAATAATAACACTTACTGAATACCTTAAACTTATACTTACTTTATACCTTAAAAGTTGGTTAATTAACTTTTGTAAACCAGTACATTTTCACATTATCTCTCTGCAGTACTAAAATTTATTATTTACCTATCGTGTGCTGTTATTTTACAGATACTGTAAACTATGGTCTGAGTCAACACATAATTTTCTCTCGAGTTTTCCTTCACTTAATTTTAAAGAACACGTAATAACAGTAACAGTTTAAAATGCAAAATATCTATCATTTCTATTTGACATAATTTGACACAAAATTGTATCCTATAATTTGGCAAGAATTTGACAACTCTCAAAAATCTTAAGACGAGTTCATATGCATCGGCGCCCGTTTCTCGTTTATCGTTCCGTCAAACCAATAATATTATATAATCTGTCATTTTTGAAATAAACCAATAAAACTGGTTAAAAACAACAAGAGATGACGCATGACGGATTTATATATACCCATCCATAGTTAACTTAAAAATATTAGAAACTTTTTTTAGTTTAATAAATGGATTGGTATGTACGAAATCTTACATGAGAAAAAAAACAGAGTATATCATAGGATTTAACAACTTATTGCCCTGCAGAGTTTATACATTTTGTAGGGACTAGTTAGACCTACTATAATATTGTAAAATCCTAAAATTAAGAAATTGGCGCTTATCATATCTTTCTTTTTTATCATTTGCCTTATTATTTCTTACACACAATAATTAGTTCAGTCATTGGGGATCAAAAAAGGGGCCTGCTTGGAAAAAAGTCCGGAAGTTTTCCTTATCGTCCACAGGTTTATAGGTTTTGGGGTCACTAACTAAAAACCATAAAATGCCCATTTCCAGACTTGCCGCCGACGCCGCCATCTTGCCCAAAATCGGTATTTTGTGAATATCTCGAAAAATATGCGTTTTTCGCGAAAATTTGGGGAGAACAAAATTAAAGAGAATAAAATTTCCTATAAAAAAGGTTTTATGAAAATTTTCGCTAAAGTCAACCGTTTAGGCACAAAATCCCTGGAAATTTTACAATTTTGCAATGAATATGATATATATTATGTATAGTCGATTTTCCGAAATCAGATGTCGATTAGGGTTCACTAAAACTAGTTTTAGTTCAGTTTCTTCAATTTTGTCATGAAACAGTGGCGTATCATTAATTTATGAGTAATTAATTGTCGTGCTGGACAGCATTCATTGCAAACTTACCACCAGGTTCAGCATTGGTCTGGTTGTACCAACGATGCCGAAGAATGGGGTTGGAAGAAAACAAAAACAGGCATTACTTCAGTCGCAACGTTGAAAAATCCAGCTCCAAAATCCCTGTTGGCATTTTTATCCTCTAAATGCAAAACCAACAACTATGGTAAAGCCTGCGGATGCAGAAAAGCAGGATTAAAATGTTCAATGATTTGTGCATACTGCAATGGGAAATCCTGTGACAACGTCACTGAAGTGTCACTCGACGAATCCGATGAAGAGGAGTTGGACTTGCCTGTAGATATCCCTTTGGCGGCTGAAGATGAAGAGTTGGACGTATTGAGAGACCCCCTGATAAGCCCAGCACAGCAGACACGATCGACTTTGACATGAGCCAGATCCGTCGGGCTTGTGCAGATAAGTTAAAGTTTTTAATTTATCTAGTGGATTAGGCCTCCGGGGAGACCACGTTAAAATAAACGCGCATATACTTTACTTCTTGGGTGGTGTGGAAACAAGTAACATTTTCAATAATTAAAATTAATTATTCATAAATTAATGAGCGACTTAATGATACGCCACTGTTTTATGACATTATTGAAGAAACTAAACTAAAACTAGTTTTAGTGAACCGTAATCGACATTTGATTTCGGAAAATCGACTATACATAATATATAAAATTTTACGCAAAATTGTAAAATTTCCAGGGATTTTGTGCCTAAACGGTTGACTTTAGCGAAAATTTTCATAAAACCTTTTTTATAGGAAATTTATATAGGAATATTCTCTTTAATTTTGCTCTCCTCAAATTTTCGCGAAAAACGCATAGTTTTCGAGATATTCACAAAATAATGATTATGGGCGCCATCTTGGCAAGATGGCGGCGAAGGCGCCGGCGGCAAGTATTGAAATGTGCATTTTATGGATTTTAGTTAGGGACCCCAAAACCTATAAACCTGCAAAGTTGCAAAACTTCCGGACTTTTTTCCAAGCAAAAATCCCCAATGACTGAACTAAATGGATTGCCGATATACACTAGTTGCCACAGTACCCAAGGAACTTAATATAGGATACAATGAAAGATAATATGAAAGTTTCGTTTTTTAGATTAAAAATAATATATTACAAAACCATTATAGACCACTGTCTACATAACATACTTTGTCTGATTTTCTCTTGTTTGCATGATCATGTAATCACAGCCATAGGTTTCTACGTTACGCTCCAGATAAATTTTGTTTTAACTGTCTATCAGAAACTTAGAGTTTTAAGTTATTAACTTAATATTTATTTCGCCAGGTTTAACTGCCGTGATGCTATTTGGTGGTGGTTATATTGCATTAAATCCTATTGCGAAGAGGTTCCTGACGGTGTACAAATTCTCTCTGATAAAGTTTCTCGTATATTTCCCACCGACGACTCGCCAAATCAACCACCGGGCACTGTGGATCAGCCCTTACACGACGTAATACAAGAGGGTTTGAAAGTTCACTTCCAAGGTTTGAAGTTCAGAGAAAGGAATGCTGGTAGACAAATTGATGAACACATGACGGATGCAGGTTTTAATAATCAAATTGGCATTCATCCGGATACCGGATTCGTTTTTGGTATGGTTTGATATACATACATCGCCAAAATTATTGCATATAACGATATTTTTATTTTATTTTCGAGCTAATATGATTCTTTTTATATTTTTGTACATATTGACTTACTACACGACTAACTAATATAAAATTAGAAATCTAAGTGCAACTAGGCTGTTATTATAATTTTATTTCATAATGAGTGAAAATCAACAAAAACAAATTTCATTTTAAACAGAAAATATTGAAAACGATTTTAATTATTTCTCACAACTAATAGTCTGTATTACCTCCTCGAGCCTCAATGCAATCTGTGAGACGGCGTGGCATGCTCTCAATTAAGTTGTCCAGAAGATGTTGAGGAATGGCTTCCCATGTTTCGCGCTCAGCAATTTTCAATTCATTTAAGGTACGGGGGGGGGGATCATTCCTTTTGGCAATATGGCGTTTTAGCGTGTCCCAAGCATGCTCGATCACATTCATATCTGGAGACATCCGTGGCCACCACTGTTTTCCCCTTATACCCTCTTCCTCACAAAATTCGCGAACCGCTAAAGTACGATGGGGAGGAGCATTATCGTCCATGTAAACAAATTCATCCCCCACTGCCCCTCGAAATGGACGCACAATAGGCTCTAAAAAGTCTCTAAGATATGAGGCACCTGTCATTGTGCCACCAATAAAAACAAGAGGAGTTCGAGCTCCGTGCATTATACCTGCCCATACCATAATACTTCCTCCTTGAAACGGGGTTGAGCGTGCTCGTCTTCCAGATGCTCTCCAGATCAAAGTTCGTCGCAAGCTAGGCCTATTCTTGTTTCATCACTAAACATGACGAAATTCCAATTAAGTCCATTTGCTCTCATCTCCTCAGCCCATTGTAGTCGCGTAATTTTGTGCTGTAAATTAAGCTTCGGAACACGTAGAGGCCTCCTTAAATGTAATCCTCTGTCATGGAGTCTTCTTGCTATGGTCTTTCTTGAAACATTTACTCCTTCAAGGCGAGCTAACTCATTTTTAATAGCAGTACTAGAAAGTAGGGGATTGCGTCGTGCAATTAAGGATATTTGACGGTCTTGCACAGCAGTAGTTGCACTCTTTCTACCTCTTCCAGGCCGGTCTGTAACCTCGTTTGTCTCTCTGTTGAGGCAGTGTTACTATTCTGACTCTATTAAACTGTGAAATAATGTTTCTAGGCATTTTAAGGCCAAAACAATGGTCAAATTTCTTCTGAAACCCAGGAGACTACAAATCGAATTGTGCAAGAATTTGTAATAATATTGGGTCTGAACGATAAACATTGTTTACCACATCCATTTTAACAAAAAAATATTTATTACAGATTATCAAAGCTATGTATAAAAAAGATTCTTTAAATTTCTTTCCGTATATTTTTAAACGATATATGCAATAATTTTGGCCATGTGTGTAGTTAAATATTTGGATTTGGAGTAAAATTTGTATTTTTATAGGCGGTAATCAATGGAACTGTGGGACGTGGATGGATAAAATGGGTTCATCAGATAAAGCTGGAAATCGAGGGAAACCGGCCACTCCTAGGGACGGATCTGCTGTTGAGTTAGTTGGTTTATCAAAGGCAGCAGTTTCTTGGTTGTGGGAATTAAATCAAAAAGGTAATTCTGATAGCATATGGCAAACTAATGTTGGGCTGAAATACCGGGTGCGTCTCAAAAGTGGCTCACTCCTATAACTTTTTTTGTTTTTTTTTTCAGATAAAAAAAGGAGATTTTGTATGTTAGTATATGACATTAGGATTGATTGACGTATTCAATTGTTTTCGGTCACTTCCTGTTTCACCGGAAATGACAACAACTTTTGGTTTTTAAATGGCACCCTTTAAATTTCAATCTAGAGTGCCATGGCTGTTTTAAAAACACTAATTGTTAATCAAGGATCCTTAGAAAAATAGATTTGATCCTCTAATGTTTTTAGTGTCTTGTTCTGGCCGGTTAAAAAATGCTAAACAAACATCGTATTTTTAGTCATATCTCAGTTTTTTTCAAATGGAAGAGGGTGGCCCATTAGCATATTTGGAAAAAGCATTTTTTATGAATAATTTGATACCACACACTTGGTATTTCGAAACAAATTGTCGTTATGAGCCGCATGTTACAATTTCAAACAAACCATATGCGAAAATGTCAAAAGTTGACATATGATATGTCATTCTATTCAGAGTGTTATTTTATATCAAACAAAGCAAAAAAATACCGACGGTTCCATTTAAAAATCAAAAGTTGTAGTCATTTCTGGTGAAACCGGAAGTGACCGAAAACAATTGAATGTCAATCAATCTTAATTCATGTCATATACTAACATACCAAAACTCGTTATATCTGAAAAAAATAAAGAAATTATACGGGTGGGCCACTTTTGAGACGCACCCGGTATATAGTTTTAAAATGTATAATCAGTGAGTGAAAATATGATTTTGACAGTCGACTTCTAAAGTTTTAGTAAAATCAATATTCTTTTGAATTATAATGACATACAGTTGATAAGATCGTTTTGTTTTGTTTTGCTGTCATTATTGTCATATATTCGTTTGCCTGGCCGACTATACATGTCGGCCAAAGAAGAAAGCTTGATTTTCATGCATACGTTGTCCGACGATACGATGATACGATATTAATTTTATTGGCTGAATTTAAACACTTCGATTGGTTAGACGATTATGCAGTTTTTAAACTTATTGCATTTTCATGCCTCCGTTCATCGGATATATCATTTGCTTGTGATTGGTGTCATTTTATATGTTCATTTCCACAACGATTTCGCTATATACTTATAGTCTAAGAGCTAGCAACGTTTTCGAGAGAGAATTTTACGCAAACTTGTTCTTTAATATATTTTTTGTTATGCTTTCTTGAACAGAGTGCGGACTGCGGACCGTCTGGCTGCCGGTAGACGTCACGTTCACTACTGCGTATCATATCTGTATTCAACATCTGTTCACTACTGTGCATAACAAATTCGCCTTATATTTCAGAAACTAAGGGGCTAGGACAAACCTTTGTGTAGCATATTTAGTTTCATAAAAAAGTACTAAAGTAATGTGAAAATCGCATCATTGTATCTCTACTCATAAACGAAAAATCCCATAAAACATCCGAAAATGGGATACCATGTACAGATGTGACGCCCAGTAGTGAACCGCAGTAGTCTACCGGCAGCCAGACGGCCCGCACTTTGGTCAGGAGAGCATAGCAAAAGATATATTAAAGAACCAGCTTTCTTAAAATTCTCGCTTTCCCGACGGTGCTAGCTCTTGTACTATTATATTTTTATTAAGGTTAGATGAAACTTGTCAAGAAAATGTCAAAACGTCCGTTATCGTACGATCTTTCTCCGTTGACGGGCCGGAGTAAACAATTTACGGATATGTAAAAGTGGCGCGAAAACGCTGTGACCAATCAGAGCGCCGTCGGACCATCGTATCAACGGATAACGGACTCATGAAAATCAAGCTTTAAGCGGCATATTATCAGATATAAATTTCGTCTAACTAGAAAAAACATGACATTGGCAGTTGTCTGTCGCTTTAATTTACAGGTAACTCTTATTTTTTGTCATTTTTTATTTTGTCTTGTCGAAATCTTTCCTGATTCGTTGGATAGGGTATAACTAGATTGGACATTTTATATATGTACAGGGTGGACCATTTTGGTTGTTTCTATAGATACCCTAGATACCCTATAGAAACAACCAAAATGGTCCACCCTGTACTAATAATAATGCGGTTTAGTACATACTGTGCATTTAGGATATTTGCACTTTTATTTAGAAGAAAGTTTGTTTCTCAGACATTTTAATTTTTGATCAAAGTTACTGAACATCAGGGAGCTGCAAATTTATTTTTTATTTTTTATTAAACATTCCATAGAAATTAAGATAAATACACCTTTATAGGCAAATGTTAGCGTTATTTGAGGCACCATCAAAGAAAGCAATATACGCTTAGTCCCAGAGATGTTATAGCTTAATTATTTTGCCATACAAGGGAAAAACGAGAGTAGTCCACGCGTAATTGAAAAAAAAAATTCTCTGTTAGAAAAATATGTTATCCATATATTAAAAGAAAGTCCCTTACTAGTTCTATGACAGAATGACCTAAACTAACCTTGAATGTTTTCTCCCATCGTGTATAAAGAAGTTTCACTTAAAAAATTAATTGGTTTTTTAATAGTTTGTTGGAATGCAGATAATATCAATAAAATATTAAATTTTATGGGGAACATATAGGAAAATCAATAAAAGTTGGCTAATGAAGCTCTATTTTTTTATTGATTCATTTATAGACCGTCTTGCCGATCAAGCCTCCGTGGAGCAATGTTTCAGGTTCAATCTAGCAAGCGGAGAGACCTGAGATCGAAACCTGGCCGGGCAAAACTATTTAATTTTTATTATTTAAAATACTGCTGATGTTTATAGTTTACTGCTAGTATAAAAATGGAACTATTTATTCTATTTTTAATCTCCGGTATTAATGTAAATTGATTGTTTATGGGCTATACTGTTCGTAAGGAAGAATAATTTTTTAAATCATTAACTGTTGATTAAATTAAGATGATATATTAAATTATTGTTATAATTAGCAAGATATTCCATGGCCGAATAATACATTTATTTGCTAGAAATAATATTAAATATTTCTTCATTTTTACCGTAAATGAATTTGAAACGATTATTTGTTTAGTGAATAGATTTTGTTTAAACAAATGTGTAAATATAAAAAACTATTGCCTCATGTTTATCAGAGAAGCCCGGCTGGTATTTGCCCGAGTTTAACCGAGTTCTTTTTCGTGATTCCCGAGAGCCCCTTTTCGGTAAAGTATTTAAGGCGCGACAAACGCCACAATTAGGATATACTATCGTATACCGTTCTATTAGTTACTTCTGTTAAGAGCTCCTTACTACCGCTATACCTACCGTCTCCGCTTTCCGTCTATATCAAGATGTCCTCAGGGGGGTCTTTTCTGTCAGTTGTAGAGAAGGAATTGCTAGAGGAGTTTGACGCACCGCAGACGGGGCCGCCACCACACCATCTATATGTAGCGAGTATCAGGGGAAGGAACTACCTGTTGAAAATTTCTACACCGACTCATCGCACCGTATTGGCAAGTTCCCCCTCGATACCAACAGTCGCTCCGACACCAGTCCATCAAGCAGTCTCAAAATCGGCTCAGACGGAAGAACCCCTATATTATCATAGTCCGTTAGTGGATCCTTTCGAGGACTCTTTTCGGTCCATATAGTAGCACCAGTCCACCGAGCCTCCCCGTATACCAGTAGAGAGAGGCGTCTATCGGTAATGTGGTCAGGGGCCGTATTCTGTAACGATCTTACCTATCGATTCGGTAGAATTTGTTTGTTCCGAAACACACGGAAATTCCACCAAATCTTCGGTTCGCGTACCGAGAGCTCTATTCGTCTCGGTAACGTATAATAATTCCATTCAACGACACGTTTTTCTATCAGGAGTTTGACAGTTTCGAAAAAGGCTAGAATTTGCGTCTTATTGCGAAGCTTATATTATAGTGGAAATGATAGTAGATGTAAAGTGTTGAATAAAATGAAAATTTGTGATATTTGTCAGGGATATGGATCTAATCAGAGCGCAGAGGTTGGTGAACAGGCTAAGAAGAGCACCAAACATATACTTTCGTTTTAGGAATATGTTGCATTTTATTATATTTATATTGTGAATTAGGGGAAATAGGGAAATTTATATTGTGAATTAGGGGAAATAGGTGAAATTAGGGGCTTTTTTAATTTAGAATAAATACAATTAAGTTTCAACACAAGTTTTAATATATTATAACTCTAAAAAAGTTGTTTTAAACATTATTTTAAACATTATATTAAACAAAATTGAATAAAAAAATCACTCCTTCTTTATACAGAGTGGCGCACCTCATTCGCCTCGGTTGATTATACGAAAACGGAAGGATGTAGAAGCAAAATATTTTATGGATATACACATCGGGACAGGTCAACTCTGTGTATAGGATTTTAACGTGTAAGACAGTGATGTAGGCAGCTTAATGGCAAATCAAATGTATTAAAAAGAGAAAAAAGTTGGGTGGGTATAGGTGGGAACATTTCTTCTGAGCGGTATTGCCAGATTTTGCATCAAAATTTCAAACCGCATAAGTAGACGTTTCAAAAAAATGTGGCATCTAGGGTTGGATCTGGATTTTCAACAATTAGTTACTCATTTTACTACAACTGTAATAGATTACATTTAGCTTAAATATATTATCTTCATTTCAGTAGTATACATGAACATTTTTAACATAGTTTATTTTATTCTAATTTCTTTAAGACTACGATAATATACTGGTCGGCAAGAGAAAATCTTGGGTCGTTTATTTTAGTCATCATTTACCTACATGTCTAGAAGTGAATCGCTATGGCAATCTTGTAAGTCGGGGAGAGAAAATTATTACCTATCCACTTAATCCGGAGCTCAACTTCATACGCTTGGGAAAATTCTTGCTCTTTTCTCTTTGTTCATTTATACAATTACAGAGTCTATAGACTCTGTGCACGACAATCGGCACCCAAAGCCGTGTGTACATTATCGGTTATATCATTAAATAAACTAACCAAA